ATTTCTTGAGTACCTAAACTTTAAATATTGTTGAGTCTCTCTTAACGAGCTTACTATTAATCAAACACATGACTAGATCCTGAGAGAGAACCATAATAATTGGTATCAAAGCACAAAGTTATTGGTATTTACATTTAATATTTGAATATTTTCTCAAAACTTACTGGGATGATCAAGATAGACGATAGCAAGTTTGATTTGTTGACAAGTCAATTAGATAAAGTTTCCAAAGAACTTTTGCCAGTTGAAGTGCACCACATGAACATGGAGAATGCAACATCCATTACCGAGAGCACAAACGACGTTAGTCCTACCGAAAAAGAGGGCACTTTCACTCCAAAGTACACCTAATTGATGTCCCTAATAAGAAGCATGACAGAGCTGCTAGGAAGTCTCAAGACCAGGAAATGACCAACCAGATAGAGGCACTTTACATGCTCTATTTGGAATCATAGTAAGAAACATGATCCAGATGATGGTAGTGTCAATGTGATGCAACCTTCACCAGAAGTGTGCAACCTAGAAGGAGGAAAGGAGAGAGAGAGAGAGAGAGAGAGAGAGAGAAGAAAGGAAACCAGAAGAACAAAGAGGGAGATCAAGAGGGCGAAGTAAAACACAACTCTCCTCCCTTGACAGTGCTATGCGTTTCTGTGAGAGAAGGAAGATCAATGCTGGCAAGAGCTTTATGGTTTTGATCAGATGGTATATCCCAACTCTTAATCCAATAAGTCTAAACACCCTTTGTAGTTTCCTTGTGATAAACAATTAACATGGGCTGAAAACGGAGAATGCAGATTCAAGAATCAATTATTGGAAAATCAACATGGACCATTCTATCATTTACCGGCAACCAATTTCTTAAAATGATGCAACAAGGAATACTATTTGCCAATTATATGTTTATGGTTTACATCAAGTGGAAAAGTATCCATGACTTACAACCTTTGGCTTTTACAACTATACATGATTTATTTTTTTGAAATAACTATACATGATTTATGCAGTTAAGACAAATTTGCTTTCAACTACAAGGATCAAAAATCGGAGAAAAAATTATTGAGAGTATTAAGTAAAGGCACCAAAGAGGTGTCAGCTCTGTACAAGATATTTACAAATCAATTAGTATATCTATGACATTCCAAAATCTTCCACCCTAAAAATATCATGACCCAAAATTATCAACCCAAACCTGTGTAACCATCTATCCCTAACCCTTGACATCTCCCCCTTACTCCCCTCAATAACCCTAGCATTTCTCTCCTTCCACACCACCTAAAAGATAGTCAAAGAAATAATTTTAAGATAATTTTTCTTTTTACAAAAAACGCTCCCACTGCCAGAACTCCTTCCTCACAGACCCCCCAACGACCAAGGGGTCATTGGAGATTAGTTCTTATTCATTCGTCACACATAAGGCCTGACATTAACTATATTATAAGAGTACTAAGTCAGTTTATGCACAATCCCGAAGAAATCCACCTATAAGTAGCATACAGAGTATTAAGCTATCTTAAAGAAACAACTGCAAAGGGCATTTTGTTCAAAAATAATATTATACTGGTACTTACAGCATACATGGAAGCTGACTATGTTGGGTTTCACAAGTTATTGTACTTACAGGAAATTTTGTTCCACGGAGAAGCAAGAAACAAAATGTGGTAATTAGATCAAGTGCAAATCA